TCTCTCTCTCTCTCTCTCTCTTCTCTCTCTCTCTCTCTCTCTCTCACTCTCACTCTCACTCTCACTCTCACTCTCTCTCTCTCTCTCTCTCTCTCTCTCTCTCTCTCTCTCTCTCTCTCTCTCTCTCTCTCTCTCTCTCTCTCTCTTTCTCTCTATATATCTATCTATCTCTCTCCTCCTTTCTTCTCCTTTCCTTTTCAGAACAGATGACATGAAGGAGGAAGTCAATAAATCTAGTTCGTGTATTGTGCTTTTTTCCACCATAGTATTAGCACGATAGAATGTTTTCCATTCACGGATACACGTGTATATATGTATGTATGTGCATGTAATGAGATTATCTCTTTACACACTGATATGATGGAGATATGAGCAGGGAAAGGGTGCAGTAGTTTTTTCACACTGATAAGGGATACCATTTCGAGATAAGAGAATTCATATTTATTGAGGATTTTGACCATTGGTAAGTCATCGTAATATCAAACAGATGCTATTTCTTATAACTACGTATAATCTCGTTTATGAATACATAAATACATGAATCTGGAATGATATGATAAAGAAAAAGCTTAGAAAGGAGAATATTAAATGATAACGATACTAATAAAAGCGGAAATCTGATCATGTCAAAAGGTAATAGTTTCAATAAAAATATTTTGACCCAAAAGTTTTCGAGAAAAAGTTTTGAGCTCGCGACCCCTCACTTTCATGTAAACAGAGATGACGTGAGTGTTGTGAGTCAGTGTTACATTCACTGTTACGGAAAAGAAGGTAATATTTACGCTATTGTTACATGACTTTAACGTTTGTACATATTCTTGAATTGAGGTGGAACAGGCAAATAACATTAGGAATTGAATCAACTGTCTGTGAATGTTTGAATGGGTTAAAATGAGAAAGTAATTTGAATGGATACTCCCAACATTTAGTGGTGTTGCGAGTGAAATCTTGCTTTAGAAGGTTTAATCACCATTCTTATAGAGCTCTTTAGTTTATATAGAAGGGTAATGTCTTGGGTATTTTTGGTTTCGCACAGTCGTTCAACCTTGCTCTCATTATTCCTTCTTTCAATTGATGCACATTGCAACCTGTGTGAGTCAGTTTTCCATCACGTATGAGATAAATAAGTTTTGGTAAACTTTTACGAAGTGACCACACCACTCTGATGGTAAGTCCTTATTACTCCGGCCACAACTGGGAAATTGTTGCTGTAAGAACAAAAAACTTTCGTAATATGGGGGCTTTGGCCTCAGACCCCTGTATATCTGATCACTGTATTTTCCTATTGGGGTATCCACCCTTATGATATTATTATTTTCCTATATGTGTATACTTTAGTTTTATATGTTGTATAATTATTCTCATATCAACTTGTGAAGGAAATACCCCAGATGTAAAATTTCTCAATTTCAGTCATTCTACCCATTACAGGTAAAATTTACCCTTCACTTTATGGCTGTGGGAAACTGAGACTATACTGTATTTTGTAAATGATATGACGAGGAAATTAAAGAAAGAGAAAGGTAATGACCATAAGCAACAAAGAACATCACTATCAACAGATAAGAATAATCTTGAGAAAGTAAAAGTGAAAGGCACTATTAGTTATTTTAGTCTGCAGACTCACCTGCTAATATATGACTCCAAGGATGTTCCCTTCACTCTGTGCACCAGCAGAGGTTAACAAACGCAATGACTACTCTGGTTATTTATTTGTCAGTTAAGGGAGCAATCCGGACTCTAGCTACTGAATGTATTTAGGAAAGATTTCTTTGTCTTTAAAGCCAAAGCAATGACACCATGGCATTGCATTATTAATTGTAAACAAATTACAACAAATACTATACATTTTTTTCTTTATATTTTTTCATTTATTTTTTTATTTTATTTATTTTTTGTACAGCACTGAACATCAATTTAAGTGTAGATCCATACTATTAATTTGCAAAATAGATTAATGATTCTCTACCCACCTATGTGAAATAGGAGTTGGTGTGACTGCTCTATTTTGATAGATGTTCAGAAGTTGTATGTATATCTCATCACAACAATATTGGTATTGAAGGAATCATTCCTCTCACCCTCTACTACTCATATATTTAGGAATTATGCTGTAGAAAAAGGGTGAAATAAGAAAAATATGTAGATTAAGTCACTAGATCATCTGATGCAGGGGACTCCATCCCCCTAACCCCCACCCTGGATACAAAGAATCCTCCGTATATTTATGGCAGGATGGAGCATAGCACTGATCACAGGAAATCACATCACATGGTGTGAGGAGTTGCCTGGAAAATACACTGTTATAAATGTAATGCAGAGGGGTGTGCACCCTGCACACACCTATGAGAGGAAGACCTACATATATTGTGCAGTACATGTGTTACAGACCCCAGCATTGTACTATCTGCAGTGCTGTCTGTTGAGTGGACACAGCAGTGCAAGCACGTTTTACCTCTTATGGAAGACCCGTGTCCTATCTTTGGCTCTATCTAGCTGTGATACCTGAAATCAGACAATATTTCAACCAGTATGTCAGTTGTAGGCTAAGTCTCGCTGTAAATGCACAGAGGATTCTTTTATGCTCCAGGCTGGGGGTTGAGGGGTTGCAGTAGGCACTGCCCCTTGCATGAAATACTGTAGTGACCCTAATCTTGCACATAGTTTGTACAGCTCATTTATCTACTTCTGGTAACCTTCATGCCCTCCCCTATTATTGGCTAAGGTTGTGTGATGTCGGGGATTTCCACTGCCATAATTCCTGCAATATAAGTAGAGAGGAATCCATCAGTAGCAGTATTGACATCTCAATCTCAATCTCAGTGATAATGTATAGGGCACTAAATAAGCGCATAGCACACATATTTGTGGTTGGTTGCTGGGGGTGAGGGAAAGGATTAAGGATGGTACACGGGAAGAAGGAGTGCTTGTAAGAGTCAGTGTTGGTGTGGTATGTGACGAATTTACTTGTGTGTGAGTTCCTTGTGTTACTTGTGTGTGCTGTAAGGTTGTTTGTGATCTTGTACATGATTGTAAGTCTGTGTGCTTGTCTTCGTGTCTCGAGCAGGTCCATATTAATCTATTTTTTTATGTGAGATGTAATACCAGGTGTTCGTGTATAATTGTGTTTAATGAACCTAGCAGCCCTAGTATTGACCTGTTCGAGCTTCTCAATATTTTGCTTAGTGTAAGGGTCCCATACAGCTGTACAGTACTCAGGTGATTAGTAATAGTAGCTGATACTGACCCTCACAGTAGCTCTCTATATACGAGGCATGCCTGATCTAGAGAATTCTTTGCTTAGATCTTGCTATTTTTTGTTATCATTGATAATGGTAGATTATTATCCCTATATAAAATTGTTAAATATTACTGTGCAGTTATGACATCATTAAAAATGTATTTTAGTTATTGTGCTGTCTGAATATTGGAACTTGGCCATAAAGAAACAAAAATTTTGTTACTATTTTGTTCTGCCCAAAATGCAGTGTAGGGCAATATATACTCTTCCAATTTCCTTTCTGGAAAATTCTTCAAGTAATCAAAATTAAGCAGCTTCAGAATAATACACTCAATGTACATAAGAGACAGAAAGTGGAAAGGCTACAATGACATTGTTTAGTGGAGCACAATTAAAATAGTCTTATGTAAATGATTTGAAACAGTCTTAACCCACTAATGACGGGTGTCCCACATATGAAACACCCGAAAAAATAAACATTGCCGGGTGCTGTGACGTTATATTGGGGTTCGCGCTTCTAAGCAACAGCGGGCCGTAGCCGGCGTGTGGGCAAAGTCTGGGCCAGCCCTGCGCGCCGATTTTGTAGCAGCCCAGAATCTTTTATTTTCGGTTTCAAAACATACCCACATTAATGAGTTAAAGACCTGACTCATGGTACATAAACATACAGTTTATTTAGCTATCTCAAATTTCCATAGCACAATGCCTTCCCTTTAGGAAAGAAATATAAAGTGCTTGCATAGATAAGGGTGTCCACATTAAAGAATGACCATGTGCGCTTTTCAAACCCTAGGTAAGAATGGAGGAAGCTCAGGAGAATGTGAATCATGCGGCCGAAGTTGCTCGACAGGCCACTCACTTCGATGCGAGTGGCAGTCACCAGGCGGCCATATACATGTATAGACAGGCAGCTGAGTACCTGCAGAGGGCCATGACACTGGGGTTGTCGACTCCAGCACTACAGGACCACGCCATGAAGTACAAAGAGAGAGCTGATCAACTAGAGAATCTTGGTATGGGGTTTGTATGGTTGACGTTCTTCTTTAGTTTGGATTTGACGTTTGAGTACTGGGGGACATATCCAGGAATGGAGTCAAGAGTATTTGTATGTAAAAAAAGTAAAAATATTTTTTAAAAGATGAGGATTTCATTAACAGCTGTCTTAATTTCACGATCCTGTTTTGCATGACTTTTATTTATTTTTATTTTCCCCGCTTTTACAGACAGTCAAGCCCAGTCAGCCCAGAACACGATGGAAGGAGGCCAGAGTGAGTTAAGCCGTGCAAACTTCCTGCTCCTGGAAGCGTTCGAGGAGGACGAGGCTGGAAACATGGAGGAAGCCATCGAACACTACACCAACGCTGTTCAGCTGTGCCTTGAGGCGGTGGGTGGATTGTATTGCTGCTCGTGTGTATATGCATCGTTTTATTGATTGATCAGTTTGTACAGATTTGATTTCTGATTGTTTATTGATCTGTTTTTCATAACTTTGTCCCTATCACACTAGCACTTTTTCCGTCAATTTTTTTCGTTTCCATATAAACTTTCTGTAAGTAAATGGACTGACCTAATCACATTATCAAGGCGGCAAACATAGTACCCATGTAAACAAACACGGCACCATTCGAGTGAGGGCCAGGGAATCACAGGAGCATTCTCATACATATCACGTTATTCTAAAGAAATATGATTATGTCTTTTGTATACAGAAATTTTCTAGAATATTAACTTATTTCATTCTAGTTTATCAATATAAAAAAGCATTCTAGTTGTATAGATTCTGTAGCACAGATCAAAAGGAAACTTTGTCAGACGGAAATGGTCCCTACTGTCTCTGTCAGGGAGGTGTTCTGTTTGCAAATAATACTTGTGGAAAGCATTAAATTCAGACAAAAATACAAATATTGATAGTAAAAGTGCTAGTGTGATAGGGCCTTTACTTGTGAGTTACCTCTGATTAAAATTGTTTGTAGAGATGAGTTGTGTACAAAATGGAGTTTGAGTATGTGTACAGAATGTAATTTGAGTTTTGATAATCTTCCATTGCTTCCTTTATTATTATTGATATTATTCTCTGAGTATTAACTCTCGAGGAAGAGGTCATATAGCTAAGCCATCTGAATCATAAGGTATTCAGTCCCAAAAGTATTATTCAGTCCTAAAAGTATTGCCATAATTCTTATCACCTTCTTTGTGGGTTTTATGCCTAAGTGTTTCATAATAGTTGAAATAACCGTGCAATCATCGATAACAGATGAAGACCATAGAGGATCCAAAGATGTCAGACAAGCTGAGGAAACTGGCGGAGCAAGCTTTGACGCGTGCTGAGGTGCTCAAGGCCCAAAGTTCACCAGAAGAAGAGCAGAAGGCCAGCATTGGAGAAGGAACAGGTTGGCATTAGGGGATTTTCATTGTTCTAGTTATTTTGTTTTATTGTAATTTGTTTTAGCTCAGTTGTAAAGCGCAATTTTATCAGTAAAGTGTTGCTTCAGTAATGTGTACATTGCGCTAATCTCATGTGCGTGTTTGTGTAGGTGCTTCGCTGTCATCTGTAAGGCCAGCACACCAACGGGTCTCCCCCACACGTGTCATTCCTCCCCTTGGGATAGGCAACTTGGTTAACTCTAGACCACAGCCTCAGGGTAAGGATATATTACTTATTAATGTTGGAAATTGGTTTTGTGTGAGTGCGTCTGTGAGAGAGGGAGAGGGAGATAGAGAGAGAGTGGAAGAGAAAGAGGGACAGGGAAGGGAGAGAGGGAGAGGGAGGGAGGGAGATTCTTTTATTGTGTGAGTGCAGGTACTATGTTTTTAAGAAATTGACAGTATATTTAATGTGTGTAGTAAACAAAACAAACATTTTTGTTTATTCTTATATCATGATATTAACTAGTCTAACTGTATTTCCTTAGGATGATAGTTGAAACTGGATGGTATTGCCTTTTTTATTGGTTTTTTTTTTTTCATAACTAGAAGCAAAATATTTTATCTATAGATATTGCTATATTTGCTAAAAAAAAAACTGAATGATTTCAGCAAAGCCTGGTCCTTCAAGTAAAAGTGGGCTGCAGCTGTCTGGGAGTGCTGGCTACACAAAAGAGGAGCTGGAGGTTCTCAGAAGAACCTCAAACATCAATGGACGTGATTATGTCCCCTTCTTGGCAGTGGACCTCAAGGAAAAATTTGCATATTCCTTACCCTTTACTGACAAGGATGGAGTTCTTGCACTTGCCCCAAAGCAGAAGAAGAATTTTTTGCAGTGGGTGAGACCAGAGGACCTTTCCAGCGACCCCAAGATGATTGAAATGGTCGACTGCTTCAGCATCAAGCAGACGTGTGTGTCCGACTGCTCCTTTGTGGCTTCTGTTGCCATCAGTGCCCTGTATGAGAAGAGGTTCAAGAAGCGACTCATTACGGATATTATCTTCCCTAAAAACCGCAGTGGGGACCCCATCTACAACCCCTGCGGCAAATACATGATAAAGCTGCACATCAACGGCATCCCAAGAAAAGTGATCGTAGATGACAAGCTACCTCAGGGGCAACACGGTGAGCTGCTCTGCTCTTACTCAACTAACAAGAATGAGTTCTGGATCTCATTGGTGGAAAAAGCCTACATGAAGGTGATGGGTGGCTATGACTTCCCTGGCTCCAACAGCAACATCGACCTCTATGCCCTTACTGGCTGGATCCCAGAAAGGGTTTCCATCAAAGACAAAGAATTCAATAAAGATGCCACGTTCAGGAAAATCATCGACCGTTTCCACAGAGGTGATGTTCTGGTCACGGTAGCAACTGGAGAGATGAGTGACGCTGATGCAGACAGAGCGGGCCTCGTCCCCACGCACGCCTATGCCATGCTGGACATAAAGGAAGTCAAGGTGGGGTCAATATTTTTACTTTGAGAATTAACTGAGATGTAAATAATCTTATCTTTCTGAAGAAGCAGAGGATCATTGTGTTAGATTTGAAAAACTTGCTAAAAATATTCCTTATGGAGTTGCAGTAGTATTCTGTGGCTTCTACTATATTATGTACTGACATAAAATATTCTATACTATATTTATATGATGCACTGACACCCTCTCATTATATATTACAGGGGAAACGTTTGCTGATGCTGAAAAACCCTTGGTCACATCTCCGCTGGAAAGGCAATTACTCGGAGATGGACCAGACGCACTGGACTCCAGAAATGTGCAAGCTCCTCAACTATGATCCAAAAAGTGCACAGATGTTTGATAATGGTGTCTTCTGGATAGATTATGATAGCCTTTGTCATTTTTATGATGTTATTTACATGAACTGGAACCCACAACTGTTCTCCTACACTTATTGTACTCACGAGTAAGTTGCACATTTTTTAACTTTTTTTCAGCTAGATTGCTGTTGAATCAAAGATATGATTACCTAAAATATCCTTTAAAGATTTGTTGAAAGATCATTCTTATTGTTTGCCTTATTTTGCATTGGTTTTCAAACAGGGTGACTATACAATTTATTAATCCTAATTCTGAAACAAATCAGATTTTGTTGTTTTTTCTTGACAAAATTTACAAGCTATTTGATTTGTAAACCTTTTTTGTATATAGATTAACAGCAGCTTCTGGCAAAATTTAGAAAAAAAAGTGCGATAAGAGTTTTATTGATTTTTGGTATTAACATGATGATGGCAATAATGTTGCATTTACCCCACCAGGACTTGGTCTGCTGGCACGGGCCCTGTACGTGACTTGTACAACATAGGAGAAAATCCCCAGTATTCTCTAGATGTTCAGTCTCCTGGTGGAACAGCTGTGTGGGTTCTGCTCACGCGGCACATCACAGAAATAGAGGATTTCCGCAACAACAAAGAGTATATCACCCTACTTGTGTATAAGACTGGAGGGAAGAAAATATTTTATCCATGTGAGAAAGAGGAACTTGTCTTCACTGTAGTGTGTACTATTGTGCTATAAATGGTACTTTTGGTCATATTAAAATTTGTAGAGGAGTGCAGTAAAGTAGAATGCTACTACAAATTTTATAATGTACTTATAAGTCTATTTATTTTATTTTTTCCTCTCCCCTAGTTGATCCTGCACCCTTTATTGATGGTGTACGTATCAACAGTCCCCACTACCTATGCAAGATGGTGCTGAAGGAACCCGGCTCTCACAAATTCACTCTCGTTGTGTCACAGTACGAGAAGCATCTGACAATTCACTACTCACTGCGGGTTTATGCAACGTGTCCCTTTACCTTGCAGAAGATTAAGAATTATTGCAAGCACAAGCAAGAGGTGAGGATTTTCTCTCTGTTTCTCAAATATTCTAAGAATATATGGTCAGATAGTCATGTTTTATTTAGGAAATCAAACCCACAACTGAAATGCAGAAAATTTGTTGATTGCCTTTGTGTAGATAAATCCTCGAAATTGCTTCTATCCGATTCCCTTTTTCTCTCTTTTTAACTAGATGATAGAAGTTAAAGCACTAATTTTTGTTAAGGCTTTCATGAAGGGACTTTCCAGATGTCCCATAAGAGCAGTGTAAAAGCAGATTGAAATTTATAGACACGGCAGGTCATAATACTCGCCCTCGTTTGATTTCATATTTCCTGACAGATCACTGGCCGCTGGAGTGGAGCTAACGCAGGGGGATGCCCTAATCACCCAGCAACATACAAGAACAACCCAACATATCAGTTCAGGGTCGAACATGAAATGCAAGCTCTCAGAATCGAACTCAAGGCTCCGAAGGACATACAGGTTGGCTTCCTTGTTTTCTTCTTTTTTTTTATTGCTCTTCCTCCTCCTTCTGGTTTCCTTTTTTCTTTTTTCTTTTTTTTTTGTTTTCTTTTTTCTTCTCCCCCTTTCCCTCCTCCTCCTCCTCCTCTTTTTCCTTCTTCTCCTCCTCTCCTCCTCTCCTCTTCCTCTTCCTCTTCCTCCTCCTTCTCCTCCTCTCCCTTCTCCTCCCTTGTGGTTTCTTTCCCTTTTTTGTTTCTTTCTTCTTTTCTTTTCTTTTTTTCTTTTTTCTTTTTACTTTTTTTCTCTCTTCTCCTCTCCTCTCTTCTCTCTCCCTCTCTTCTTCTCCCTCTCTCCCCCCCCCTCTCTCTCTCTCTTAAAAAAGTATAGTTGACATTACTTTGTGATTCCTCTATATTTTGTTGGAATGCATGAAAGTGATCGTCAATTTAATGTTTGTATGTGTTTCTTTGCAGATTGGTTTTGAGATTGTATGTGTAGAGGCAAAGAATACAGAAGCAAGTAGTTATTTTACAAAGAAGCAGACTGGAGCGTACAGGTAGGAACATTTTTCAGTTATTCTTGTATTAGAACTAATTTGTTTTAATTTTTAAACCATTTAATGTTATAAAATTTGTTTGTTTGTTCTTTGGACAGGTTTGTTTATTACCGAGTGTTTTGTAAAATCTTTATTAAAGGCTGTAAAAAAGAGAAGTTATGAACTCATTCTTTACAAAATGATGTGATTTTTGGAAATAAGGACTGAAAATGTCACAAAATATAGCACCAAAAGCATGAAAAAGTTATGAATTAAAATGAATAATTTTACAAAAGATGTACAATTAACATTTATATCTATCAGAATTACAGTAGAGATTAAGGGTGAAGCTAAAAAGTATCAGAATGTGAATTGTACATCAAGCTTGTGAAGTCATACATTTTCATTCAAACCATTTACAACACTTGTACACCCCTAAGTGCTCCCCTATTCCAATACTGCATTTCAGATCGGGCTTTGTGGTGCTGGAGATCATGGATGTGGTGCCGGGGGTGTACAACGTCACCCCCAGCACCTTCTACCCTAATACAGAGGCTCCCTACTTCTTGAACTTCTTCTCGTCAGCACCAGTCAAAGTCAGCAAGTTGAAATAGAGGAGGCCAGTGAAGTCAAGTCAATTTTGGCCATTTTACATGACTTCGTATGTGTATTTTTTAAGGAGGAGTAGGTTGATTCTTCCAGTGTTAAAAAAAAGGGGAAGAGGAAAGTTTTCATTGAAGAGGAAAGATTTCATTACAAAATTATGTGAATAGGATACTGGAAGGTACTCCTAAAGTCATATTGAATTAGAAATTTGAGAAACTTTATTTTGCTCTGATCTGTTTACACTGCCTGACAATTTTTTTTACTTGAATCAAAAGACTTTTTTTGTCGTCATATTGGAATTTAATTGTTTATATTTTATAGGAAGAACATTTAAGTTATTATTATAAATACAGGAATTATTAGGTCTTCAAAGAGATACGATGATTATGAATTTGGGAGAATTCATGTTGTCTGCGGCTTTTGGAGAAGAAAGTAAAATTATTTATAGAATAGTCACAAAATATGTTCAGCTTTAAAAGACCATCTATTTCAGATCATGACAATACCAATAGTAAACCTGTGCTTCTGCTTATTTTTGGGAGACGTGTGCTCGCAGTTGTGCTTAATGGTTCATAAATGTCTTTCACATCGTTATTTGTGTTATATTGTTGTTTTTTTTTTAGGTTTTTTTTTAGACTCTCCTCAAGAAAAGGTGGTCTATATGGTAAAGGAAAATAGAGTTATTATATAAAAACACACACACACACACACACACACACACACACACACACACACACACACACACACACACACACACACACACACACACACACACACACACACACACACACACACGTTTTTGTGTATGCAGTTACGTATATATATATATATATATATATATATATATATATATATATATATATATATATATATATATATATATATATATATATATATATATATATCTGTATATATATATATCTGTATATATAGATAGATAAGCCAATGGAAGGCCATAAGACATAGATATTGCATAATGCAGTTTTAACTATTTGCAAGATTTTCATATGATAATAAATCAACATTTTTCTCAGGTGCCACACATATTTATATCAGATTAATGGACTGTGATTATTAATTCTCGGTGATTTAAATCCACTTGTCCACTGAAATCCAAGACTGCCATAATTGCCAAGATTCAAGCTGTGAAATCAAGAGTCGATCAGATCGTCATCGGCTTCTCATCCGAGGCACTCATCCGAAGATTAGATAATTTCTGCGTATCGTGGCGGGCTTTGATTTGTTTCCTATTGTTTTCTTTGAATCTAGGTCTTGACATTGAAGAGTTGTTTTAAAATTCCTTTATGAACTCTTAAGATGTCAAGGATTATATTGTAATGGAGACTTATAGAATTATGAAAACATTTATAAGCTTCAGTTTCCCAAGAACGAGACTTGATCGTACTAGATTTCCTGCTCGAAAGTCTAGGCAATTGATTTAGATTCCAGTGACCATGTGATATTTGATATTTAATGGAACTCCTTTCAACTATTGTGGATTGAAACCTTTTCTATGCATAGTTAAGTTTACAATATTTTTGTTCATTTGCAAATTGTTTAGGTGTTTCATTGCCATCTTTAAATGATAGTAATTGTAAATAGTAGAAGCAAATGTTTATAGATTTGATGTTTCTCTATGTTTCTTTTTATTTAAGGTCTGTCTGGATTATGAGTAAAATAAGAAATTGATATGGCAGTCTCAAAAAGAAGAAAGGACATAGAAAAATTTAACATATGAAGAATGAAAAGATAAAGCTAACAAAGTTTAAGAATGGGTGTGAAGAAAGAAAGAAAGAAACAGAGACAGAGGGGGGGGGGTGAGAGCAAAAGCGAAAGAGATAAGAGTGAGAATACATTGGAATATGAACAACGAAATTTCTCCATAGAATAATCAGAGGTCAGACGTAATTTTTAGTTAGTTAATTCATTCACTTTATTTTGTTTTATTATTATACTTTTCTTCTTTTCTTTAAGAAAATTATTGTTTGAATAGGTATACCATATGTAGAATTGTCCTGTTGGTGCCATGTTTAGAAAAGAATTGTCCTGTTGGTGCCATGTTTAGAAAATATCTCGAAGAATTTAAAGAAAACTTTGATTAAAGACCATTGCAATACTTACTTATTTTAGGATATAGTTTTATTAATCTATGTATTACAAATTGATAGTTACTGCTGTTGAATAAAGCCATCATATATTTTTTCTCCTTTCCATAGCTTTCATTTAATCATATGCTTATCGTATAGGGTTTTTATATATCATATTTTCCGCAAAGTAAACAGTAAGCTCAGTAAATATCATGTCACAACTTTTAGGTGATGGGTGTAAACACACACTTTAGTATGGACCAGAAAACCTGCCAGCAAGTAATTTTGAAACCTTTAAAACAG